TTCCGCTGCTGACAAAGTGCACCCATCTTGGCCTTATATGAGAATGGTGTGCGTGGAATTTTGTGTTCGCTGAAATGAGAAAATCTACTACAGGTAGTCCTGGATTTACAACAGTTAATTGAGTTTCTTTTACAACAGAGCACTGAAAAATGACGACCGTTGCAGCTGCCCATAGTCACATGATCAAAATTCAGATGGTTGACAACTAGTTCATATTTATGACTGTTGCAGTGCCCTAGGGTCATGGTATCCCCTTTTGCGACCTTCCGACAAGCAAAGTCACTGGGGAATACAGATGCAATGCAATGATTCTCTTAACAACTGTGGCAAGAAAAGCGATAAAACGGGGCAAACTCAACAAATGTCTCACTTAACAACAAACATGTTGGGGTCAATTGTGGTCATAACTTGAGGACTACCTATAACAGCTTCTTTTTTAAGTACATTTAATAAAATGTTGGGCTTGGTGGTGGCTCAGTGGCTAAGACGCTGATCTTGTCGATCAGAAAGGTCGGCGGTTCGAATCCCTAGCACCGTGTAACGGAGTGAGCTCCCGTTACTTGTCCCAGCTTCTGCCATCTAGCAGTTCGAAAGCATGTAAAAAATGCAAGTAGAAAAATAGGGACCGCTTTGGTGGGAAGGTAACAGTGTTCCGTGTGCCTTTGGCATTTAGTCATGCCAGCCACATGACCACAGAGATGTCTTCGGGCAGCGCTGGCTCTTCAGCTTTGAAATAGGGATGAGCACCGCCCTTTAGAGTCGGAAACGACTAGCACATATGTGCGAGGGGAACCTTTATCTAATCAAATGTTGAAATAGTTATCTTAATAAAATCAAGAATTAGCTCTAACATTCTAAATTGATGTTAACATTGATGGACAAAATATAAACTACAGATAGTCCTTGACTTACAACAGTTCACTTAGTGACCCTTCAAAATTACAACACTTATTACCATTTTTCAGACTTATGACTGTTGCAGCCATCCCCATGGTTACATGATCAAAAATCAGATGCTTAGCAACTGACTCATGTTTATGGTGGTTGTAGTGTCCTGGGGACATATGATTACCTTTTGCGACCTTCTGACAAGCGAAGTCAATGGGGAGATGAGATTCATTTAACAACCAGGTTACTAATTTAACTGCAGTGATTCACTTAACAAAAGTGGCAAGAAAAGTCATAAAATGGGGCAAAACTCACTTAACAAATTTCTTGCTCAACATAAATATTGGGCTCAATTGTGGTCATAAGTTGAAGACTACCTCTATATTGACCCACGTTTATAAATCCCTCCCTCCTGTGAAAATTAATAATACAATTACCTTTTAAATGTGTAATTAATTGGAGATACTCTGCAATTATGCACTGTGCTGAAATTGGAGTAGGAGTTTCCAGCAATCCTATTATCATGGTGGCCTGATAAGTTATAGCAAAACAAACTTAGCTCATGTACAGTCTATCAATATAGGACCAGTTTTTAGAAACATGGTAATACTTTCTTGTTTTGTTATTTAATTTTTCTAATTGGAAGACATACTATGATCATTGTAACCATCTTTTTGATTACTTCTTTGGGCCTATTACAGATTTCCCAGATCTCCCCCCAGATCTCGCGTTGTCCACGCCTCAAAGTTCTGCGCCTTGAAGAGAACTGCCTAGAACTAAGTGTACTTCCTCAGAGTATTCTTAGTGATTCTCAGATCTCTCTACTTGCTGCAGAGGGTAATCTTTTTGAGATCAAGAAACTCCGAGAATTGGATGGCTATGACAAGGTTCGTTGAAAATCCCATATATGTATTTCTCTTTTCCACTACTTAGTACCATTTTACCATATATTTGGGTAGGATAGTGGTCAAATGGCATCAGTTGTTAAATGAAATCATAAAGATAGCAATTTTTTTAGCCACATGAAGCTTAAACTCCTGGTTTATCTTAAAGTTTTGGAAAACAGTTACAACACTTTTCTAATTAGTAGATTAATATATCAGAGTTGTATGAGGATTTAAAAAATATTCTCTAAACCAGAGGTGTCAAACTCACGGCATCACGTAATCACATGACATATCGTGACTTTTTCCCTCTTCGCTAAACCCAGGGTGGGCGTGGGCAGCACATGACGCATCCGGCCCACAAGCCGCAAGTTTGACACCCCTGCACTAAACCCTATATCTTTCAAAACATTTGTCAAAGTGGTTATATGGTTTTATATAAGGACTAAGAGATCCCAGAACAGCATAGGGCAGCACAGATAATTATGGCTTAAAGCAGAGGTCCAGGAGAGTATAGGTTTTTCTGAATTTGATCCAAAGAGGTTTATTAGGAGTAATATCCCATCACTATTCTTAAAATCTTCATATGAGAGGTGACATTTTAGAAGTATCATGCCTATCAAAAGATTCCCTCAAACTGAATTTGACTCCTTTTGATCTCTTGGACTTTCCCAAATAGGCTTCTCGACAATTGTGGTTTGTTTTTGACTTTTTCTGAGATATTTCTTTGACCTTCCAACTTAGCTTACAACCATGACTGATTGTGCTTTTTTTTTAATGATCAGTCACAGTTAAATAGATGTTGCTACTTACTGTTTCATTACATATACAGGCTTTTATATAAGGCTCTAATGGCAATTAAAACTTGCACTCCTATTAAACATATTTGGATCAAATTCAGAAAAACCTATACAGCATGTTCTTGTCTGGTGTTCATCAAAAGAACTTTCCTGGACTTCTGCTTTAAGCCATAATTATCTGTGCTACCCTATGCTATTCTGGGATCTCTTAGTCCTCAAGTGTGATGCACTATATATATTTGCAGGACATTGAGAACCGAGGAAGAAGGAAACACGAAATGCGATTCTATTACTGGTTGTTAAGATCTATATAACTATGATTTAAAAGAGTTCAATTTTAAAGCTAACTTCAATGGACATTAGTGGCAAGTGATATGATTAAAATGGCCCCTCTCGCATTGACTGAACACTACTTTACTTTATCAGATAGCTATGAACCTCTTGTCCAACAGCAGGAGATTTAGGAAAGACAACACAGAAGTTCTGAATTAATATAGTATTGAAATTGTAACTAGTCAGTAGAAATAGATTATGTACTAAACAGAAAAAAATAGAAAACCATAAAACTAGAAATGAACTCTTTGCAAAAGTTATCTAGAACTTGATTTATATATTTATCAACAAAACTTTTTTTTAACATTTTAGTATATGGAAAGATTTACTGCTACAAAGAAAAAATTTGCCTGAGCTACTGTGCACGTGAATGAAAAGACAACAAGAAATGTGACTGATGTATGGATCCAAATTGCAACAAGCCTGTTGGGAGAATGACATTCAAGCCTTTATATAAAGGCAGGAGAACAGTGGCCTGTTGGTTTCAAAATGCCTTGATGTTTTAGATCTCACAAAATGAATCCAAGAATTGGTAACCTTGGATATAATGCTTAACATCCATTTGTTAAGTCTCCATCTACAACGATTAAGAAGAACATTACAAAATGACCTGAGCTGAAGAGGTTTTATGACGGTTCCTGACAACTTCATACATAGGAGGCAGGGCAGGGCAGATGGAGATAATGAGCTTTGTGGGTAGGATCATCTGCCAGGAGGCTCACTAATTCAATATAGATTAATTCCACAATGCAAATCCATCCATGTCTTGGCTTTAAATATTTTACAGTGTACGTAGGGCTGGCCATTTGAAAAATTATGTACAATAGAAGCACAAATTATGGATGAGCATAGTGGCTTAATATACATAATAAAACAACAGTTGTCCTAGATTCACATCACAGTCATTCTCTAGATGGTTTGTCTTCCACTTGCTAATCAACTAGTTCACCTTAAGTGTGCTAAACTGATGGCTTGCAAAATAGGACACTGCATTTGAATCATCATGCGAGTAACAAACTCCAATGTTTGGGACAGGGCGGGTTTGATCACTGTATTAATGCCTTATGCAAAGCACCCATGGATATTTAAAATATGCAACCTTGGAATAATTTACATGCTTTTTAAAAAAACCATACCTCCACAACTTTCTTAAACTTTTTTGGCACCTTTTGACAAAATAAACTGAAATATATTCTTATGTATTGGAATGGCAAATATGCAGCTGAAGCTTTCTGTAAAATGTACTGTTCATGTAAATGAAATTTAAATTAAAATGTAAAACAACTCTACAACTCTAGGAAATGGTCATAAATGAAAATGATTGGATGTTTCATTGTTGGGTTGAAACACGCTACTCTTACGTGATATATTTTTACAAATATTTTTTTTCATACACTACAGGTTCCAGCTATATTTCTCATTTTTTCTACTGCTACTTGTAATCGCAACTGTAAAGACACATTATATGTTGCATGCATTATAAATCAACGATTGGTACTGAGTACCAATAGGTAATCATGCTGTTTCTTCTAACACAGCGGAGCTGGGAATGAGAGATTGAGGCGTTGGAGGAGTTGGTCAGTTGTGAAACCTAGGAAATAGTAATGATTTCCTCTTAACTATTGGTAGTTGTTAGATCTTTTCATATTGGGTTATAATCAGTAACTCCTTGCCAAATTATTTTTAGCAATTTCATTTAATATAAACTTACATTAAATAAGATTGTCTAATTTTTGAAGAAAAACAACTTTGAAGATTTTTTGGGGGGGAGGGGGGAGAAACATGTCATTCTTGTCTTTTATACCTGGATTGGGAATGTGTATCTATTCCTGTTCTTAGAACTCCCTGTAATACAGCATCTGTATTTGACTTGTAGAGACAATGGTTCAAGTTTTTTCTACTGCTCTCTTGTTTCATGCTAAACCATGTCCTTTTCTAACTCTAATGGGTATTAGGCTTATTCAAGAAACCATTCACACATTGCATTAAGCCTGCGACTGAATATTCTCTTCATCTCCAATTCATCATGTGACATAAGTAAAGATTTTTCTTGAAACTTTCCATCATGAAATTCCAGGGAAATTTGGAATTCTTGTTTTTTTTAGCAAAGGTGACTATCCCATCAGCCCATGTCAATGGAACTTAGTAATGGTTCACCTTCTGGACTCCATAGGGAACTAGAAGCTGGATCCTTAGCTGCAGGCAAAAACATTTATAGGGCGTGTCTATTACACAGCCTAGGACAGTTTAAGGCCATTCAGATTTACACAGGTATTTGAAGAGTGAAAAGATTTATAAATTATATTCAGCCCAGCAAGTATACATGACATCTTGGGCATTAATTTACATTATAGCTAAAAACATATATTTTCCAGCCAAATCCTGTAATTCGTTTTGGTATTAATAAACATAATTTGAGAGGAATGTGCCCGGTTTTTGCACTATACTACAATTCCAGCATTCCATTGTACAAGGTTATATAGAAGACTAAGCTTTATAATAAAAATTAAACATTCAGTTGGAATGAAGAAACAAAGCATGAAGAAATTAAGAATAATCACAGTACAATTAATTTGTTTTGAGCTTCTTTATAGTATCTAGATTGTTGCAGGTAATCCTTTGACTTGCAGCAAAACATGCAAGGACTAGAACTTTATAGCTTCAAGTTGAATAAAATACAAGTTCTGCTAAATATTGTGCCGTTGAATAAATCAACAATTTGGTGGATTCTTAATTAGAAGAGAATTAAACCTTTCTTGCGAAAGACTGGGCATCTAGAAGTTTTGAAATTTGGTCATTTGTATAGATATGAAAGAGAAACCAAATCAAGAACCTTAATCCTGAAATAGGAGTAAACTGAAATAGGCTCTAGGTCAAGTACTTATTACAGCAAACTACACCATGTGACCTATTCAACAGCTCACAGCTCATTAACAGTGATTCATAGCAGTTTCCCTTGGATCCTTCTACATACTAACATTTTTAAAGAAAATCTGATAAGCAGCAATTCAAATACAATAAATCATATTTTGTGATGCCTGCAGAACCATACCACCATTAAAATTTTGTGAATTGGATCAAATTCAGGTCAATTTTAATAATAAAGCAGTGCTTGAAACAGATTTCTTTGAAAAGTGAATGAGAATGTATGGTCCAGATAGAAAATGTGAAACAGTAGTTATTAATATCACTAAGAAGATGGCTTTTGACTTCATTCAACTTAAGATTGTACCCTGATTTTGATGATTTAAGCCCCAATATTTTTTTAAATAAATACAGTATTGAAATCACAATATGCTGCCCTCTACAGATTTGTACAGATTGTATGGATTGTTTATATTAAAAGGATAATACATTTCTATAAGGAATACTTTTATGAATTTTGTGCATTTCTGATAAAATGTTTTAAAAGATCCACATAGAGATTTCATAGACCAATCTCAGCAGTATTAATACCTACAAATACACTGTTTAAAAATGGCAGAGGTTCAGGATATTTATATAAAGGCATATTTTAATTTCCTTGCAATCTCATGAGATTCCAAATAACCAAGGGTAACATGCTCCTAGTCAAGCTGTCTGAGTTGCCCTTTCCTCTAATTCCACTAACATACATAGTTTCTGTGAAAGAAGCAAAAGAAATAAGGATTGAAAAATCCAATCTTTTGGAGACAAAAGTGACAAATGTTTAAATTTGTCTAAGTTGCATTTATGCATTATGGATTTTTGTATGCTTATTTACCTAATTTGCATGCAAATTAGAATAGCTATGGCTTGAAAGTATACTTTATATCCATTATCATCTTTCCTTTTTATGAAAAACTTGGTAATGAAATCAAATGTTTTGAAAAAGTAGGAGCAAGTTTAATTTCTACAAATATGTACATTTCATGAAAATCCATCATCCACCAATTCAGCGATGATAATGCAGTATTAAGTGAGGTAATTAAATTTAGTGAGTGCATTCTCTGCCTTTATAATCAGTCAGTTTGCACTCTTATCTCTGAGTTGCCATAAGGAAAGGAAAGGAAAAAAAAGAGTGGTGGTGGTGGTAAGACTAACCTCACAGAAAGGACAAAACCAAGAAAAATGAAGCCCTGAGGATATGAACATTAATAAGAAAGTTACATTTCTGTTGTGCTGTTTTCCTGGATTTTCATGCTAAACATGTACAATACAATAGTGTTCTGCTTTGTTTCATTTTCTGAACATTGCTTCTCTTCTTTGGAAAGTGAGGATATTTGTAGAATGAGAAAAGATTTCAGTTGACTGAAAACTGGCAATGGCTATCAGTTCTCAATAAGCTTTTTGGCTCTTGCATTGGCTTGCTCAATACGGTCTTTGTTAGTTTCAGCCTGAAACAGAAAACAAAATGCAAAGTTACTTGTAAATTATAAAGGTGCACAGATACTATTCAAGTCTCTTTATATTTCTTCAAGAATTGCCAAGAATGTGGAGAACTAAAACAGAGACATTTAAAGTTATATGCAAGTTATATGAATAGAAAAAATCCCCTTTCTCGATTCTTTTAGGATATGCCTTTTTGTAAATTGCTAGGAATTCTGTAAAGATTCAGGGTATTCAAATGAAATGAAAGAAATTAAATATAAATTCCAGCTTGGAGGGAAAGTACTGGAGTGTATGTTTGAGTCCACTGACTTGTTTAGAAAACAGCCACAGTAAAATTAGCCATGAAAGTACCATCATATTTAGGAGCAAGGAAGAAAGCAACATAGGTTTACAAGAGAAAACCTTTTCAATAAGTTCATAGCTGACAGATACAAATACATTCATAAGAAATCTTCTCATTATTGTACTGCTACACTAATATATAGTATGGTTAATTTTTTAATTTAAAAATTTAACATTTGAAACAATTTTTTTAAAAATAATAATTTAAAATATTCAAAACTCTTGTTAGCAAATATTTACAACCTATTTACCGTTCAGTCTAATGACTAGCTCTTACTAATCTGTTCACATACAGTACACAACGATACCGCTGGTAAGCTTATTGAGAGAAGCAAAGCAGAAGAAATACTTAAAACAAGAATTACTTAAAAGAAAAAGAGTTCTCAAAACAACATGGTCACTTTTCTTGATATTATAAAGTGCTGCTATGATTTTTAACAGGGTTTGTTTATCACCAGTTATGCATCATTATTCATTAATTGTCTGAACATCCATCAATGACAAACTTTTCAAGTTTATGTATTAAAATATTTTTAAAAACTTGCTTCAATCTTCCCCGATTTATACCTCATTTTCTCTAAAGATTGCTTTGCTTTAAAACTGGTACGAATATCAACTTCTTAATGATAAAAATATTTATTCTTTCAACCAACTTATTGCATTTGAATGGGACACATGCAAAGCAAGGATGTAAGATAATAAATCTATAACCTTGGGTACTCAGTGTGATGTCATGGATGCTAACACTTCCATTGGTGTCTGCCAGGTTTTCTACCCTATCTGCATTATAAAAAAATTAATTAACTAAAGGCACCCAGAAAAACAGGAAAGAGGATTAAGATAATTGATGTGGGTTTAAAAAAAAAAACACCATCCGTGATCAGACCAGCCAATGGTGCTCTGATTCCAAAGGTCATTTTGACAGTTGACCTATTAGTCACTTATTCCTCTTCACCTCCTACTGTATTTCTGTCAGGGCATTATATATAAACAAGACTTTTTCTTTTTCTTGGCACTGGTTTATCCATTACAGAATATCAGTGTTTCAGAGAAACAAGTACAGAACTTTGAGAAAGCCCAGAGTCAGAATAGAGCAACTTCAGTGGTATTTATTCTATTTTGGGCAACACAAACCTGCTTTTTAACCAACCAGGATGTGATCTATAGTTCAATGTGATATACATCTTTAGTATATACACATAGTGACCGTGTGTGTGTGTGTGTGTGTGTGTGTGTGTGTGTGTGTAGGACCACCAGTTTGCGCTCTGTGAGGGTAAATATGAGTTGCATCAGATTCCACATTTACCTTGTACTTAAATTCTTGGACAAATTGCTTTTTTTTTAAAAGCAACATCAATATCTTCCTGGAAATTAGTGTTATTCATTTTATGAATGGACAACAACAATTAGAAGGCACATGTAACATACTTTTCAAATGTGGTCCTCATTCCCAACAATACAGTATTTATTGGCATTGGTATTCGTTTTATTTTTCATATTTTATCATGATGGAAATATTATTTCAAGTTCACAATCCCAAAGGGTTCACCATGAAATCAAGCTTAAATATATCCTACATAGAAAAATAATGCTTTGGGTGGAGGAATGTTATCCATACAAGAGAACACGGACACAAGGTGTTGGTAAATTGGAATACCTCTACACCAGGGTGTCAAACTCAATTTCATTGAGGACCACATCAGGGTTGTGTATGACCTGGGTGTGTGTGTGTATGGCAGGGGCGTGGCCACAATGGATGTGTCCAGCTTGACATCATTCCCATTGGGGCGCCTGTAGTGGCCCGCGTGTTTCTGCCAGCGAAAACTGGCTCCTAAGCTCCAGTTTTGCTGACATAAGCACTGCGAGCCAATCCTTTGCTGTTTCCGGGGCAGTCCTGTGGGCCAGATCTAAGTACCCCGAAGGCCAGATTCAGCCTCCAGGCCTTGAGTTTGACACCCATGCTCTACACCAGGGGTTTCAAACTCGATCATATCGCAGGCCAAATTGTGACGTATCATGATGTTTACCTTTGCGGAGCTGGCGTGGCCTGTGAGGGCTGTATCCGGGCTGTGGGCCACCAGTTTAACAGGCCTGCTCTACAACATGGTACTGTATTCCAGAACAATTAGCTACTCTTCCAAGCAATTAAGTCTCTGATAATTAAGTTAGTTAAGGATCCAGTTCTCACTTCTTACCTTCACATTTATTCGGTCTATTTGCTTATTTTGTGAATCAATCTCACTGCCCATATCCACAGCCATATTTTTCAGATTTCCCAAGATGTGTCCCACTTGAGTTAAGTTATCCTCCATCTCATCTTCTCTGGCATCATTTGTTATCCTTTTCAAAATATCAGAAAAAAACTGCTTTGAGCACTTGCAAGTTCCTTCTTCTTCATTGTAATGAACTAAATTCATATTCTCCTTCTCTCTCTCTCCCCTTCCTCCCTGCCTATACACATACTTACACTAGTCAAACTGCCATAGGGCAGTTCTCAATAGAAATTAAAAATCATCAGTTAAATCAGAACAATTACAAAAATACTAAAACCATAAACAGAAATAAAAAAACACAGAATCATAAACAGTCCTAATTCTATCTCTCATACACATTTCATAACTTCAGTCTTAAAATACATCTAATTGGCAATTTATAAAAGATGTTAAAAATAAGCCTGTGTTTTTAAAAGACCTTTACATTCCATCAATCATGTTACAAAATTTGATTCAAAACGTCCTATTATTTGGAATCTTTGAAAAATTACTAAACAGTGTTCCAAATAAACATTCATGATTTACACAGAACAAGCTTCTCATGATGGTTTTCAATATCCCAGTACTGTTCTAGAGGAACAGATACGGAATCTGTATTCATCAGTGGAAGAAGAAAATACTATTTACCGCTTTATGTATCCTCCATTTGGTCCTCCTGAGGTCTGTTGTTGGTAATTTTCTCCCCGTCCTGGTTGTCTGGTTATTATATGATCACCTGAGTTTTCACCCCATGTTGTCTTATATGTTTTACTAGTCTCAAAGTTCCTCGTTCTATAAGAAAAATAGAATAATTAGTTAGCTAAAAAGATAATTTAAGCAGCCAACTGATTTATTGCTTATTACATGATCAAGTTTGTGATTAGGAAGAAAAATGTATGTACCACTTAGCATTATATTTATGGTATATCTTTAATTTAATGAATTATATGGAGAAACTTAAAGAGCCAGCTTACTGCAGTAAGTCACCAGGCTAGAAACTGACAGTCAATGAGTTTTAGTCCTTCCTTAGGCATGAAGGCAGCTGGATGACAGTGAGCTTATCACCCTCTCTCAGCTGCAAGGAGGCGGCAATGGCAAACCACTTTTGAACAACTATGCCAAGAAAAATAGAGGGATTGGTCCAGATAGTCACCAGGCATCAAAAAACTGACTTGAAGGCACAAACCAACAAAATATTGAGAAAATTATATTGTACTAATTTCACCAAATCATGCATCAGATAATCATCACCAGATAATCATTTTGTTAATGGCAACAAAAATGAAGGAATAAATGCAAAACTTATTTTTCTATTCCAACATTCATATAATCAAGATAAACCTTGTATTGTTTTATGCTGTATTACTCTGTAATATTTAATTTTTATTTGGTTCTGGACTGACTCCGTACAGTGATACCTGATATTTTAAAAATAAAACATAGGAATCCTGAGGCTATGAGCATTCTTACAAAACAGTTGCATGCTGAGTAATATATGACAAAAAACATTTCCCCCATGTGGTAGATCAGAGTTAAATCAATATGTGAACATTATCATAACATTGCACATTTTTCCTGTAAGATTTTTAAACCTATGTATAAACTATTGTTTTCTATAAGCTACATAGGAAAAATATCCTAATAGACTTAAATTGTATATCAACTGTTACTTGCATTCTAAACATTGTAACTATTATTTCAGATTAATCAAATCAGAATAAATAACTAAATATAAACTACAAGCAACACGGCACAGACACAACTACAGACCATCACAAGGTGTTATGAAAACATGCACATTCAGACATGCATCATGTTAGAACATCACCTTCAGATAGCTGGTTAGCAGTGTAAACTGCTTCTTAATACAGGTATTTTCCTAAATTCCATTTTGACCAGTTAAGTGGATCCAACCTCTGATGTTAAATCTTCATTTTATTAAGAAGGAAAAGTGGGGTGATTAGGAGAGAATGAAAAAGAGTGAACAGTAAGACAAGCAAGCAGATAACTATTTGTTAGCTGACAAACTATTTCAAAGTAAAGCTGAGAGTATGCTATAAGAAGAAAAAAACAGCTTTAACGCAAGTCAGGAAGAAAAGCATTATTATGAATACTATATTCAAAATTTGTAAAAGTGCTGTGCTATTCTCATATATATTCCTTCCATATATGTAATAGGTATTACGGTAATTTAAAATCCAACCCAAGCTTATATTAATTGCTTTAGTTTTCCCATTCCAATATATTATCAGATTTAAGTCACAGGTATATGTGTACATCTAACTAAGCCTTATAGCACCTAACTACTGGTACATGACCACTGGCTTTTCTTCCTTAATTGGCACAGCTTGAAAACAACAATTTAAACATTCACTGTTTAAACTTTATTATATCATCCACCACAACTTGCATTTGTCATTACCAGAAAACCAAAAGCAGAACCCACAAAAGTTAAAAACATTCTGGTTATTATTTTATTCACAGGTTAACTTTATGGACAAGTATAGTTAAGTAAGCATTTCCCAACTTTTTCCTTTTTTATAGGCACCACTACACTGAACAGAATGTTTTTGTAAATTGCAAGAAAAACCAGGGGACAGCAACCATAGTTGGTGGTTGTCATGGCATGGGACCCCAAAATTATTTTTTAAAAACAAATACATTTTTAAAAGGCTGAAATTTCACAGGACATCAGTGTTCTTGTTTGAAATCTTTTAAAATTTGAAGTAAAAATGGCAATAATGAAATCTTTATTTTGGAGTCTATACTACCAACCACTGAAACAAACGTTTTCAGGCTTCATAGATTTGAAGAAAGGAGCCATCATTCACACTTGCATGCACCCATAAAGTTTTGGATAATACCCCATTGGAAAACCTGAAGGGGCAGGTTGGGGTCAGATCATCTCAGAAAAGGACTATTTATGTAGTTACTCAGAGTGTACCTAATAGAACATAAATAAGACTATATGAATGCAGTCAGTGGCTTGGACAATGTTAAGGTAAAATGTGATTTCTTTGAATTTTGTTTATTGTGTTAATGTGAACCCAGTTACTATTGTTTGTATGGTTTATGGCTTAGGATTATAAATGAACACAGACCATGGTTTAGTTATTACAACATCCAATTTGTGCTTTGAATTCTGTAGCAGTTTTTTTTTTCATCAGAGAGAACAGTAGCTTCTTTAAATTTTCTAGTCACTGAAGTTCTAAACAAGAGTGAAATTTTTCCTTGAAAAAAGCGTCTTACCAATCTGCTTTTAACTGACCTATTGCATGGACAGACACAGAGACCACAGCACTTATTAAGCTCTGTCAAGTTCTTTTCAGCTTCTTTCATGTCTTTGTTTATTTGATCCATACCTTCTTCTATGTTGTTTAACTTTTCTAGGAAAAAAAAGAAGCTTTAGAAACTTTAAATGACGTAAATGCTTACACTTCATATAGGAAGGTCTGCATTCAAAACACTTTTTAAAAAGCATTTAAAAGCAGCTTAAGAAGTGTTAATGTTTCTGGAAACTACTGCAAGCCTATGGACAATGGCCATGCCTGTATCTGGACTGAATTAATTATGTATATTTATTATGTATCATTATGAAATATAGGGTTCTACATTTATAATCAAAGATAACATATTGTTCTTGTGCAACTCACCGCCTTGTTCATCTAACATGGTAATGGTTTTGATTCCAGTATCTTGTGACTATAATGGGGGGGGGGGGGGGGAAGAGAAATACAGAACGATTACACAGTGGAATTAGTGTAATGACACAATTTGCTACAGACTATTGTGTGGAGATACTACTAAATAATTACATAAAAATTGATCAGCATAAATACTACTATATAAAATTTCCTTCCAGGTAGAATAAAAATTCCAATATTGCAAATTATTTTACAATACTGGTATAAGTACATGGTGAATTGGTTGCTTTTGTTTTTTGGTCCTATGACAAAATTATTTCAATGTTATTTCAAGTTTCATTGTTTGCTTATTTTTATTTATTTAAGAAAATTTATATGGCTGTCCAACTTACTCTGTGACTCTGTGTGACTTACAAAGATAAAAACCCAATATTAAAATAATTGAAAAGCAGAAAAAAAAAGCAGGGAAGTTCTAAGAAAATCTGAGAAATACTTCCATACATCTAATGCTCAATGAACATAATATACTCAATGTCATTTCATGTTCTCCACCTGATTTCCCACCCCCAGCTCAATGAAAGCCTTTAACTTCTTCCTTACCTCAATGGCCATGCCAAGGATCCTCCTTGTGCTTTCCAAAGACTAAAATAAAGATAAGATTTCATTTCAGGCATGGAGATTTTCAAAGATATGTAATTATTATATAATTTTAGACATTGCTGTAAGTAAGCACTACAGTATACTTTTGTTTCTGACACAATGCAACTAAGCAAGGTTTTGTCTTGATTAGTGGTATTTTAAAACTCAACATTATGATGCAGCCACTATTTTCTAGACAAACCCTTCTTTTTAGATTCTGTGCAAGTCTGTCCTCCTGGATTCTATAACCTTTTTTTTTATAAAGGATCGGAATTTGTTCTATTGCGGCAGTGAAGACAAGCAGAAATACGCCATTAGCAAGTCTCCACCTCTGTCTTCCAAACTTGGTGGCATTGCCCCTTGAATGGTCTGTTTTGGCAGGGTGAAGAGGATGGGAAGGGAATTGTTGCAATAGCTGATCCACTCTGCTATTCGTTCCATCTCTAAGAGAAAGTATGTAAGAGCCCTCAAAAAAGAGGCCACCTGCTAACGCTGAAAGGACTTTGTGGGGTTAAAATACAATCTGGAGGAAGGAGGGATGCTAAAGTGCGGCATCGTATAATATTTCCATCTTTTCTTTTTGGCATACCATCCTTGATTTCTCCCAGTTTTCTTACTCCCATTATGATGTCCTTACTATTCCCTGGCTACTGTGCTAAGAAAGAATTTCAGCAGGAGTAACTGTTTCCACAGGTTGATCCTGATATATAAAATATGTATGTATTATGCACACACACACATACACCTTGCAGTGTGCTAAGCTTGATTGTGCTTATTCATGAAGGATATTTATTATATGGTGGTGGTTTTTTTTTACACACAGGGCTATGTGTGACATATAAACAAGACTCTCCTTCAGAAAATGCATTAATCCTAAGGAAAAAGTATTTTTGCTTTCTAAATCCAAGTATTTTTGCTTTCTAAACCCTCATTTAGCAAAGGGGAAAAAGTTGTGATACATCACGTGATGTGTCATTACAAATTTGACACCTCCGATTTAGATGATTTAAACCTCCCCTTCACTGCAATATTATCAAGCAATATAGGATAACCAATCAATTTTAGTGGAGATCATGCACTCTAAGTTTATCTACCCAAGTTATTGGGCAATAATATATTATTTGGGGTGTTTACCTCATCTGTAACTTGATGGGCTCTCAGTTGAATTTCTTCAGGTGACAACTCAGCCATGTTTGACCCGTGTTTTTCAACTGCAATTATTCACAACAGGATTTCTTCTAAAATAGTAAAGTATCAGTGATAAGGGTATAATCTTGACCAATTTTAAGCAAATAAATAAAGTGTGTCCTATTAAATTTTTATTTATTAAATTTATATGCCAAATTTATAACAGTTCAGTTGTCAGCTTTCTAGGAAAAGAAAATTTCAATATTAGAATGTTCTTTAAAAATAACATAATGAAATACAATACTTCATGTATTTATTTATTTATTGTTTCAATCAGTTTATATGGCCATCCATCTCAACAAGTGACTGTTGGCTGTAAACATAATTAAAATAAAGTAAAAAGAATTACAAGCATTACCAACACTGAACTGCAAAGTAGGCAAGAAACATCAAACTTAAATCATTAATGTAACCAAGAAGTGGCTCCCTGAACACAATCTGGGCCCAGGTCCAGGACTTTAATGTCATCCTGATCTCCAGATAATTAATGTCTTTAATGGTAGAACTATGAACAGTATCCAAATATTCTACACTATATCTTCATTATAAAATAACAGTTTAAATAAAAGTTATACTTCTACATGATAAGTTGAGAAATAAGAAGTCATGTTTGCTCCAACCGCCCTCTTCACCAAATGATTCTCATGCAGATGGTCTTCCATTAACTCTGACCAACTTTGGACCTAAGAAATTAATTTCTAACTTTTTATAAACTATCACTACTATGGTATTTCTAAATAATCTAAGACCTATTGATTCCCTCACTTGGTCAATTATCCTGCTTTTTGAGGGCCCACCAATCTTTTTTAAAGATATTAATTAGTATAGAATTACAACTATTGGGTTCAGGCAAAATTGGATGGCAAGTATTGTTTTCTTCCCCATAGAAAAATACATTTCTAGGGATGTATTTGCAGAGAGTACAAATTAAACAAACTTGTTTTAAATAGGACTGACAATCATATTTCAGTTGCTTTTACTAAATAAGTTCAGTATTCAAATCTGAAGAAAATATCAAACATTCATAAATAGTAAACAAAAAGATGGTATAATTGACACACATAAGGGCAAAGATAATTTGCATTCAGGACAATTGTAACAATGAAAATGGCAGTTCTGCTTTCCAGATAGAACTATCAGATCTAAATAGCTACCTCAGATAAAGAAGTCTACAAGTTGCCCAGATTCATCTCTGGTTCCTCCATTATCACTATTAACTGGAACATAATATACAATTTTCACTAAACTATGGATACTACTTCTATGCACACCTATAACTCTTAGTTATCACTTTATATTTTTGACATATGTCATTCATAATTTTGTACCTTTACTTCCCTATTTACAAAGTCTACTCTACTGTATCAGACCATCTTCACTCACATCTATTAGACCCTTCCCTTTTTCTCTTAGTTCCACAAACATACTGTTTCTTTCATTTGACTTGGGAAGTCACCTTCCTTGCTTTGTGTTTACATGCCTAGGCATAGTTCTCTATATGCTGTGAATCAGCCAGATAGGCCTGCAGATACTTATCTCCTGGGTCCATGGTTTGGTTAATTGACACTTTCATATCATACCTTTTAGTAAGAGGAAAAGAGAGTAGACTAAGTCAGTGTCCAATAGTCAACATTATTGTAAGGACAATGTTAATTTTGACAAATTTGGCTCAGTATTGCCACAAATGTAACCAAAGCAAGTCTTACTGCATATATTCTCATACTATTTTATGAAAATTAAAATGTCTAATCTGGGGACTATCTTACAAATTAACATATTATTGCCTGCATCCTAGTAATCAGGAAGTATATGCAGTGTTCAAAGGTACACTTCCAGATGCTTTCATTTACCTATTCTGGGGATTTTTTTTGTCACAATAAATATGAGAAGAAAAGAAACAAGTGACATTTCACCCCAAAGCACTATGTGAAAAACACAAAGTAATTTACATTTATGCAGCATTTTTCCAACTGTTTTTCCATTCTACAAGTCAAAATGGGAACCTCCGCAATTTGCTAATGGTATTTTATTTTTAAAGGAGTGGAGACTGCTATTTAGATATATACTGTATTGATATTTCTGCGCCATAGAGTATTTTCCAATTTCCATCACAAAGAAACGTGGAGAAGAAATATTAACTCTGAGCGTCCCTCTCTATTCATGGAGAAAGTACAGGAGAAGAGAAGTTGCTCTGCAGATATATGCAGAAAAGGTCTTCGCCCTTTTCAGGGATCCCAGTTTATTAAGTTGTAATAGTAGGACATATTTTCAGCAGAAATCATTTGTTCTTCTGAGAACTAATTATGAAATTTGCAAAGTAAACAAATCTTCAAAACAGAAAAGCAGAAAACTTCTGTCAATTGGCTTATATTGACTGCATTTCTCCACTGATAAATTGCGATTCACTGATGGACTTGATTCAGCATCCATGCTTCCCATCCCCACCCTAAACTTCAGATAAGAAAGGTACGTGAATGGAAATACACTTGCAAGAAAAGACAATGATGTAACTAAATAAAGAACTGAATTTTTAGTCTCTTGGGGACAATTAGGATAGGTATGTTAAGTCTATCAAATGCTTAATGTACCCATTTAGCTTACATTTTATGCTTAAAGTGCTATTACAGCCTACCATTTTGCCACTAAAATGACAATGAGTACATAATATATGTCCCTATAATTCAGGATGAAGTCAAAAACTTAAATCTATGATGAAACAACTGACTTTCCAAAGTACCAATGAGCTTTAATCTAGGATGGAACTTCTTACGTAAATCTGTTAAATTACACATATGAACAACTTCCCGATTCTGAAAATGAAAAGCAAAAGAAAGGTTCCAAGAAAATAGTTGCGTTACTGAAATATACTTCCCCAAAGAGTATAAAGAAGTAACTAAATTTTAGTTATCCAGTAACTAAATTGTGCAAGTGGGGTTTTTTTTTCTTATAAAGGGAACTGATTTTGCAAAACTCTCCACTGTGAAGGAATAAAAAATACATGAATACTGGTTAAACTTGATTTAAACTTCCAGATTTTGTTTCCTGTCCTTTCGCCTATTCATTCTTCGGCCCTCTTCCAATCTGCACCATTTAATGGAGTGGGGGGGGGGGAGTGAAAACACTGCTGCTTCCTGTTGCTCTTGTTAATTGAGGCTTTTAAAAATGCAGTAAGAGGCTTTTAAAGATGCAGCCAAAGGGATAATAGCCACCACGATGCGTACCTCTCGTTTTATGCTTTTCCCCACTACAATGAAAAGTCCCAAAACAATAAAAGCCCTCTCCAGTCCCAGCGCCTCCTTTGGCCTGCGAAGTGAGGGTTCAGCAAAAGGATCCCCACAAACAAGAAATACAGCGCGGCCCTGAGAGGAAGCCGACCGGCAGCATTCCTCCCGAAACCCAACCAGCCCAAGCTGAGGCCTAAGCCGAGAAGGCAAGGCAGCCACGGGCGCTCCCCCCCCACAAGCCCCCGAGGGGTGGCCACTCCTGGCCCCGAGGTCGGCTTCGCCGCCCGGCTCCGAAGGATGCTGAGGCGCTCTCCCCTCGCCCTCTCCGGCTTCCCGCGCCCATTCCCTTCCCCTTCCTCGCCCAGGACGCCTCGCCGCCCGCTTCCCCGGACTGCTCTGCCACCGCCTCGCCCAGGAACTAACCCGCCGCTTAACCCCTCTGCCTTCCTCCGGCGGAGGAGAAAAGCCTCTGCGTCCCCAGCCTCCGGTATTCCCCTCTCCCAGTCCCTCCGGCGCTCCAGCCTGGCTGAAGGGGACCTCTGACGCCCCCCGCCCGCCCTGCCCGGGGACATTCGTCGCTCGCCCCTTCCTCTTTTCCTGCCCGCCCGCCCGCCTCTCGCTCTCCCCGCCGTTCCTTCCCTCCGGAGACTCACCACGGTGCTTCGTTGGCAAAAAAAAAAAAAAAAAAAGCCCGAGCCCGCCCCGCGGCTCCGCTCCGCCCCGCCCGCCAGACCTTTCGGGCCTCTGGGCGCAGATCTCCCGCTCTCTCCTCCGAGGGGACGAGCCTCGCGCCCGGTTTTCGGAAGCCCCTTCCCTCCGCTGAACCCCACCCAGCCAGTTTCCTGAAGCGCCTCCTCCTCCTCCTTCCCTCCGGTTCCTTCGGGGGCCCAGCTGCTACCTCCTCCCGCCTCCCTCCTACCCGGTCTTTGAGTCGCAGCGCATTGGTCGCTTTGGAAGGCATTGCTAATAGCTATTGGTGGGAGGAAATGATCGTCATGTTTATCTCCCCTTTCGCTTTCTCAGGTTGTTGATTCGCCTCCAGCATCCGGCTGGCGCTGGGTTTATTTTTTTTAAACTAAACCCCATTCAAGGTACAAAAGGTCTCGGCTGTGCAAAAATCAGGGTCCTGCGGTACCGACAACGCATCTTCTAAAGCAAGCATCATCATCACAACAACAACAAACTACATGGCCCAAAGACCAAATCGTTCTCCAAACATATCAACACGAAGATAATATACAAAATGCTAAGTGCTCAAGAAATACAGCATACTGTCTCATCTGGCAATTCCCTCCAGAGCTCTGGAAATATTAAGATTTTTTTCTTTCTTTCAGGACCCCTTCATACTGTAAAAGAGCTTTTGCTTACATGGGTTGTTATCAGTATTTACAGTATTACAAAAATTAAAATGATGCATTCATTGCTATTATCTTTTCTCACAATTGTTTGATGGAATTTTAATGTCTTACTTTTCAACATAATTTGATTTTGGGGAACCCTGAGAAGGTCTTGGGAGACTTCCAAGTGTCTTAGAACCACACTTTTCTCAGGGATTTGTTCAATCTGAAGTCCAGATAAATCATAGAGTACATATAACTGTAAGGAATGAATAATGAATTAAATCAATGATTTGAAGGTTTTACCATCATGGAGCAAAAACACAGACTGAGAGATAGAACCCCTTGATGTCACATGTAGGAGTGGAGTGTGGCATTACCAGTTGTGTGAACGATACCCAATTGCACATCTCCATCTAAGCTGTGACACAGATGTCAAATTCTGATTTTGGTGTCTGGAACCAGTTAAAAGGGATGAAACACATTAAAGCTGAGCCCAAACAAGACAGAGTTGCTGTTTGTTTGTTATGTTGGTGCTGGCACTGTCTCTGGAGGTGGAAGCACCATTCGTGAAGGGACCCATGTATATTTGGTGATTCTCCTGTATTCAAAGCTACTGCTGGATGACCAGGTAAAGATTAGAGCCCAGAGTGCCTTTGCCCAGCTTTGTTTGGTGGCTAGTTGTAACCCTACCTGAAATGTGAGAATCTAATATAACACTTATTCACATCTCTTCTCTGGGCTACTGTAATGGGCTCTAAATAAATCTACTTTTGGGGACCATTTGGTAACAATAATTGGTACAAAATGCTGTGCTCTACATACTCATGCCTTGGATCAGAGGTCTTCAAATTTGACTTCTTCAAGATTTGTGGACTTCAACTGCCAGAATTCCTCCTCCAGTCATGTTAGCTCAGAAATTCTGGGAGTTGAAGTCCACAAATCTTAAACTTGCCAAGTTTGAAGACCCTTGCCTTGGATTTACTTTTCCTATATTTGCTCCATGAATCTTAAAATGATTGATTTGTTACAGAAGTACACATGGAGTGCCTCAGAAGGTGTGAATTATGAAAAAGGATCTCTGGTAAAATGATGCAGAGCAAGAAATTGTGGATAAAAAGTATATAAGTATGAACATGACAAACAACTGAGAATGAAAGATGTTGCATCAAATGTGTAGAGAGCAAAAATAGTTGAAATGATGTAGTGTACTTTTGCCTACTTTGTTATAATTGTTAGAAATGAGTATATTGAGTATCCTCAATTAAGTCTTAGTGTACTTAATTGACTATATAAAGAGAAACTTAAAAATAAGTTGAATAAAGTGGTAACAAGAGTGTTTTAAAAGTATAGGTGACAGGGATTGTGTCAAGAATAAACATATTAAATGAATACATTGAATTGAATACCAAAATATTCAATTTAAAACCAGTACATTGAAGTGATTTGGTCATGAGGGTACAATGAATAAGGATCAAATAGCAAAACAGAGATGTGAAGGGAAAATAGATCAATTAAGAAAAGACCAAGAAAATTGAGTTGGATGGAATTGGTAACATCCTCAAAAAGGGAGATGCTAAAGAATAAAAGGCAATTTATAAATTTATAACACAAACATTGCATTGTAGCTTCCCCCCACCCCCCTTACCTCCTGTCTTTAATTTCTTTGGCTCATACATTCTTATTTCTGCACTCTGCATAAAGCTACTAATTATGAAATGGAATACTGTAATCAGAGATAGGTATGGAGGTGGCATAATTAGTAGGATCCATGATTATTATACCTCATCCTATGAAGGCATATGCCTTTTTCATTTTGATTATTGTTAATGGTTGTTCACATATAAAATGATGAATTTCATTAAGAATCCATGCCTTGAGCCAATATGTTCTACTACTTTTATACCAAGGTAATGTGATCTATTATTTGATAGTGATTTCATATGGGGCCATGTAAAAATAATTGTGCAGCCCTTAGTGCTCTCTGAGCTTTGTTGTTTACTTATAGATATATTATTCTTAGCAACATCATCAGTGCTAACAAATTGTTATGCAAAAACACCAACCCCTTGGTGGGTTTCATAACTGTGAGATATTACTTTACTGTTTCATGTAGATCCTGTTTAAGAATGTAAAAAGGATATGAACTTAGTAACATCCATTCTGATTTCATGGATCTGACATTTACTTATTTAACAGGAGACAACTAATACCAGTTGTCCACAGATGAATTTCAGTAATATCAGTAAATTTTCATCTTCAAAAGAATATCCATCATGCTAAATTATTTTTTTATTCTTCAATATATACACAGATCAGTTATTTTTTGTTGTTGTGCACTAGTTGTTTGATTTTTAAAATATCATATTTTTTAAGCTTCCAGAAGCACTATCCAGATTTTCAGGTCTTAAGTAGCAGAAAAATTATGACATGGTTGTAGCAGGTTTTTAATAGTCATCATGTTATCAGGTACTTTCTAAGACACCGCTCCAGCAATAAACTAAGGGGCCTTCTATCTTAAAAAGCTGGAAACAATCACATGAAACCAATAAGTAGGAAAACTCTGCATGATTGGGATTCATGCTCCAGTGTTTTGTATTAGTTGTGATGCTGGGTAAATTAATGTTACATAAATTGTGTGTCTTTTCATGCTACCTAGCCTGGGCTTGGAAATTAAACATGGTTAAGCCAAGCCAATACACTACAAGGATGGAAAATCAGCAGGAAATGCCAAGGCTGTACTGCAAATTACACTGAGAAACTGAATAAACAGGAAAGGCGATGTCAAAGCACTTCCAGCTGGTTGGTAAGATAATTAATTATACATACATGTCCTGAAGGCCACCAGCAGCTGTATTTAAAAAAAGGGTTTTTTTCGTTTTATTTAAAAACACTCGAAGGTAATATGTTACTGCTGTGATAGTGTTAAGATCTTTGAGAACTTGCTGCATATATCCATTTTGTTTGGAAAACCTTCATTTTCAGTTCACAATGTCAACTGCTCTTTAAGCTTCTAGCCATGCCTTTTTATTTGGAGCAAGAAGCCAAGAAGATTATTTCCTCCACGCAAATCTCATTCAGAAGCACTCGAAACCGAACTGACCAATAGCCCGCTGTACAAACCCAATACAGTACTGCAGCCAAAAGGTAACCCTACACAAAAAAACCCTACATCTACCAAAATGCATCACGCTGTTTCTTTGAATTAGAGATACCCAGTGTGACTCATTTCCTGTTTCTATGGTATTGCAAAACTGGCTTCTCTGGATTGTAAACTACTATTCCCAGAATGCATACAAAAAGAGGATTTGGTTCTCTGATTGGTTGAAACCGTATGAAGACGCTCCCGGCCTGTGGGGCGGTTCTCTTTTGGGTCGAGCTTGCAGGTCTCCGGAGGAGGCTGCACCGGCAATGGGCGGGGTTTCGGTAGCCCATCTTGTTGGGTGATGCGCTCGTGCTTCGCGGCTGGATGAGGCGGATACGATCTGTGAGTACCGCGAGGCAGGCAATAACTTCGCCCTTTAAAGTATGAGGTGGAAGCTGAGCTTAAGTCCCGGACTGGAGGGTTGCTAATGTTGATAACACTTGTATGGGGATGAAGCTTTTATTTTCATTGCAGCCGGCTGGAAAATAGTTAAGTAATCTTTGAGGATCAGTTGATAAGGAACCAACTTCAGAAGTTGGAAAGCAGCCGAGGACCTAATACTGTAGCACAACGAATCCCCGTTTGTATAAGAAGTTAACATTCTTTGTTTTTAAACCACAACGTTAGAGGAAAACACAGGAGCCCTATATAAGCTTCGGAAATGTTTCCAAACTTGGTTTTCTTCCACCAAACTTGGCTTTCGTCATAAGCTGCACAAATGGGAGCATTCAAGAAATAAGCATGATAAAGCCTTATATTTGGACTGCAATTGAATAAAACTGCTGTGGTAAAAGAGTCCTTATGTATCCTGTTCAGTAGTTCTGGCCAAACATTGGAGAGCCAATGCAGCCATCAATAATTCAAAAAATTAATAGAGGAAATTACTAAAGAAACAGTTTTTAATTGGCTTAAAAGGGAAGGCAATAAATAATTAAGAAAAATTCCTTTTATTCCCACTTCACAAAGGGGCATAAATATGGGAGTGGTGGTTAAATTTTTTTTAATATTTTTTTTTATTAAGTAAACATTAAAACAGTTGAACACAGTGCAACTTTCTTGGCCGTCATTTTGGCCATACATACTATAGCATAGAAATAAATATAAGTTAATTTTCCCTTTTTCCTTATGTTGTTGATATAATGCTAGTTACATATTTGTTTTTATTTGCATTTATATACATTTATATACATATTTACAACCTAGCTTCTTATCCATCTCCTTTTTCCCTTTGTAGTCTTTTTATTCATATCATATTTGTCCATTATATTTCATTTTCTTTAATTTACAAAACTTTTACTTTCAGTCCTATAAAGCATCAACAATTTCATCTTTTCCTTGACTCCAGCCATTGATACATTTTACTCCAGACTTCATAGAACTCTGTCTCACCCTTATCCTTA